CTTCTGGGTTCACGGTCAATGGCCCCAGTTCACGGTCTTAGAAACCTATGAACTCGCCTCGCGTCATTAACTTCGGTAAGTGCCCTGGATGCCTTGATGTTCACGACCCATACCTCCTCTTCACAGTCTTAGGAGACCGTGAACTGCCTTGTCCCACCGTGAACTGAGGTTGTTTCCTGGACGCCTTCACTTCACTGTTACGGGGCAATTGTCACGTTTCTTCGATTTTTGCGCTTTTTGACCTCCAATTATCCCAAAACTCGTCCTCGCCTTCCCACACGTGCTAGGACCTGAAATGTATCAAAACAAGCACAACCTAGCATGAAATATGTCGAGGAACGATGAAATACTAAGCTAAAAGAATAAAAAATGAGGGGTAAAATGTGTACATTTGGGCCCGAATCAAACATATAATGTTCTTTTGCGACAAGAGGTTCTGCATTTTTTAATACCAAATCTCAAGATCACGACAAATGAAAGGCATTAAAGTTAGACATGGTGAAAGCATATGATCATGTCGAAGGTGGGGTTTTTTCAAGTTATAAGTCGATTAGGTTTATGTGAATAGTGGGTTCATTGGGAGTATGCATGTGTTTCCACAATAATATTTTATGTTTTAATTATTAGAACTGCTCATGGCTACTTTCGACCAGAACGTGAGCTTCGACAATGAGATCCTCTACCCCCCTCTCTTATTTGCCTTATATACAGAATTCTTTTCCTCTCTAATCCATGTTGTATCTCTTAACTTACTCCGTGCTCCTAAGATTCATCGTCATTTCCCAAAACCTCACATCTTTTTTGGTTGATGAGTCATATCTTTCCATGCTTGCTTCTATCTAAAATGTTATAACCTTCTTGAATTGATTGATTCTTTTCGGCTTATGATTGACCAAAAGGTAAATGTTCATAATTTTATTGTCTCCTTTAGTGCAAACATGACTGTTTTTGAAGCTAATGTTATCATCTCTCATCATAGAATGCTGAAGGTGGTCAGTAAGACTTATACTTGGCCTTCCTGCCCAACTACAATCTTGGAGATGGATTAAATTTTTAACAGTCTTGGGAAAAAAATGAAATTGGATAAAGATATAATACACGACCACAATGCTAAAAGTGGACTCGAATGCAATTGCTGATATAGGAATAGTTGGTACAACACTTGCCATCTTTCAAATAATTGGATACTTTGAGTAGACCTTCCATCACATAAGAATGTAAAATTATTTTGATTCCGACTCTACGACATGTGTTGTATAGCGTTGACTTTTTCATTTCACCCCCAGAAGGAGAACTAATTTCTATGGTAAATTTCATCCTAAGTTTTTTACCAGGATAAAAGTGTAACAAATTTTAGGAATAGAGGATGTTAAAGCACTTACAACATTTTGTGTAGCAACTGAAACCAAGTTTTCTTCAAATAAAAGGAATACACCTCCAAGAACTTTTTCACCAGATTTTTGGAAAATATAGCAGCAACTTTATCATCATTAATATTTTCCATAAAATGATCTACATATTTCAGTTTATATAGCGGGTCATAATGTAATACGAGTTATAATCATAGGATGCCCTATGATCGAATCCCATCTTTGGTAGCTTCATCTTCCTAAATAGAGTCAACGATCTCTAAGAATATCTTCAAGTGTTGCATAGGATCATCATCACTCCTTCTTGCGAATCGCCCAACTGGTTGCACCATTTGGATGAGTTGAGTGCGATCTCGATGTTGGTTGGTGGTGCAGCAATGCTGAGGTGATATTTGATGCTCGTAACCTTGAGTAATCATAGAGAGTAGGTGGGATGACGTTGAAATATGTAGAAGACGTTGAAGGGGCTCCTTCTTCTTCAAAGTTGAAGTTGTAGTCTTCGACAATGTTCTCCTCCTATCCGAAGCTTGGCTCGAGGTTGTTGTTGCTTGAAGGCTCCTCTTCTTATGAGCTAGATGATCCTTTCTTTATCCTCAAGATGGGTGAACTTGATGCTCCTCCTTTCTTGGACGATCTCTTTCACAATCTTTAGGTTTTTTTTATTTTCCTCTAGTACTTACTGGGCTCATATGACAATCTGCAAAACAAACAAAAGTTAAAACTAAGAGAAAACATAAGATGGTTATATGCTTTTATATATGATTATAACTTCCCGGCAACGGCGACAAAAACTTGATGTTATAGTCAGTTATAATCCTAGGATGCCCTATGGTCGTATTCCACAAGGTCTTCTAATGCATAAAGCCTACTCACACCACACCATCTATGCTACATGAAACATAAGAGACTCTTTAGGGGTTTTTATCAATGACTCATACATCATCACTCGATCCCTTCCACTAAGGATCATTCTCTACCCCCGTGCATTCGCCTATTGTGATAGAGATTTAACTAGCTAATGTGTGCTTTCACTCATGCCATTACCTAATCAATGAAAATTAAGAAAGTTAGGATAACACATGATTAGTGTGGGTCTCTTGAGCCATAGACCATGGTCTATACCATCGATGATCTAACAATCAAGCATTGATACTACTGGAGGCATAGATGGTTGATCATTCAATCATACTCATGTAGCATCAATGAGGTATCAATATAGGGTAATTTCTTAACAACCTAGATGATACTAAGCACAATGCATATAGTAGTATATTATAGAGCCATAAGCATCGATGATAAGAATTATTGAACAAGATGAGCATTGAAATCATACACATAAGCATCAAAATATAAAGCATCCATGCATACATATAGGGCATCGAAAATCATAAGCATCAACATAACCATCATATGAAATCATAGCATCAATGCATACAAAGATAAACAAGTTCACATTCTCAAACAATCAATTTCAAACAAGCAACATAGAAGGGAAAGCGGGTACCACCATCGATGATAAAAGCATCTCCCTAGTTGCACACTCTCCTACGAATGCTAAGCTCTCACTCGAGCAAACTGTATACAGAAGTTTAGTGAATTTGTGCAGCCTACTGAACTAATGAATCTAACCCTCTATTTATAGTGGTAAAACTTGTCCAAAACTCTCCTAAACCAACTAGGACAAATTTTCTTTGACTTGGGGTTGAATAAAGGCCTAAAGATCTCTATTTGGGCTTAGGCCTTCTTGCATTCCGGCTAGGTGACGATTTGGACAACCACTGTTTTTCTTTGTGGGCTGACCTCCTTGGCCCGTGGACAACCTCTCTTGAAGATTTTTTATCGTGATTTGCTCAAGTCTCCATGAGAGGAGGTTGGACCAGATGTCGGGCAGTCGCTACTTGTAGTTACTAGTAGGCCTCTCCATCATTGGACCTTGTCTTTATCACGAAAGCTCCATATACTTATCTCTATAGCTCCTTTGGTCCTCTAGAGTTGTCCAATGCTTGATTCAAATTCTCCTAGGTCTTGTTGTACATTGAAAACCATAAAAATGTACCAAGAAGACATCAAAGAGTACCAGAACATATACTAGGTCTATTAAGAGCTCATTCATCAAATAGCTATGATTTAGATATGAAATACAAGAGAAAGGAATAAAGATGCATTGATAGAAGGGGAAAATGTATCAAATATGGGAGTGATAAATACTATAAATAGAGTGTCATAAGGTCACGAACTACATGTATATGCAATAAGGAATTCAACTTGCCAACTCGCACCCAATATTTGGTAAAATTTCCTAGTATTCTATATGTCATTCCACTTAATATGTAATAACTGGTATTTGTCATGTACAAAATTCCTTGTTGCACAACTATAAGCTCATGAAATAAATTAGTTGGTGGTGACAATGTTTAGTACCAGAAAAATTAAGGTAGCATTATAAAACAACCACAAAAATTTGACTAAGCACTTGACGTTTCCCTAATCGTCACATGTAGGAGGTGCCATAAATTTTTACTTCTTTAATCATCTTCCTCTTATGCTAGCAAATATCTCATTCTGCCTGCTAATGGTATCAATTTGCTCTACCGTTTCTTCTTCGGACTCCAATTTATCAAAAGCTCTTTCATACCTTTCAGCCAGCCCCAACATATGGTAAGTTGAGTTCCGTCTAGTTTCAACATCGAAGCATACTTGACATTTGCAATTGATTTTTTCTCCATCAACACACTTAAAAAACCTTCGCATCCTAGAAGGAGAGCTCCTCACTTTAATAAATGCTTTTCGATTTCGGGTATATCCCAACACACCCCATGCCCTAACCTCATTCATCTCCTCTCCTCTCTTCCCCCATTGCTCCGACCGCCAACAAAATTGTGGAGAACGAAAGAAAAGGCCAGCGCCGCCGCCGCCCGTCGTCTGCCACCGCCGTCAAAGGTTTGAGCACCCACCTAATTTGCAGAAAGAGACATGTCGAGGAGATCCGGGAAAAACGCCAACGAAGGTTCCACTTCTTCCAGTTCGACCAACACATGCACGATTCGATGTAAAGTGCACAATGCCCCTTGTGTGATGAATACATCTCACACTAGCTTGAATCCTGGAAGAATGTTCTACTCTTGTCCATATTGGAAGGTAGGTTGAAATCCTTTTCAAATCTTTGTTTTCGACCAACACAACCACGATTCACCTCTTCCTTTTCTGTAGGATCACAAAAAGAGTTGCCATTTTTTCCGATGGGTTGATGACGAGCTTGAGAGTGACTCGATGGTTGATGGATTGATAAAAGAGAATCTTGAAATGAAGTTGAAGCTTGGTGATATGGAATCTCTAGAAGGCGTGTTCCTAAAGCAGAAGAAATGGTCGGGAAACGAAAGGAAGAAAAGGCTGCGATTTTAGAAGACTTGGCCAAGCTTGCCGAACTCAATTCTGCAATTTGTCTCGAACTGCGAAAGATGAGACATACGATTTATGGCCTTCAAAGTAGGATGAATTTATGTTGTTTTTGTGTGCTGTTCGTAGTCGTTGTTGTAATTGTGTGTGAACTTGTTCGTATGTAATGGAGATTTCATGTTGAATAAGAATGGTGTTTGTAATTTTGTGTTTTCTTGTTCGTATGTAATGGAGATTCCCTAAACTTACTTCACCATCAAGCTCCGTTCTAAATCTGGTACTCCTTCTCCTAGCATCAACTCTAATCTCATGGTACTCCTCGTCTGATGTCTGAGCATCATCTTCTCTAGCCGATAAAGTCAGGTGCAGCTGAAATGTCTCCAGATGCATCTTCCCCTTCAGGAAAATGACCATAATCGTCTCCCATATACCCAGCCCTCCGATATCCCTTGTTGCCTCAAAGTACACCCTTATATCTCCAGTTCCAACCAAGGGCAACAATCCAGTTACAACCTCCACGTCCGAAACAATTTCATGCAATCCAGTAGCCATACTTTCCCCAGGTGTCAAGTACGATAACCTCTCGACTGAAATATACTCCAAATCTTCAATAAAAGTCTTCGTCAATTCGAAGTAGGCCAAGACATCACGATTCACATTGAAGACATCGACAACCCCCCCCCCCCAACGTACTATGGAACATCCCCCGACATATCCATTGCGCCTCCATGATACAGAATAAGCTCAACAATGTCGTCCTTTCTAGCAAAGAAAAAAATTTTGATACGCATTTGATTAATCATTCTTAACATCAGTTAACCCGACAAAGACAAAGTGAAAGCATTACTTTAATCTCAGTTTCCAGCTCTGAACCTTACAAATGCTAGTCATGAGCATTACTTTACTTGAAAACCCTAATCCTTGTATGTATCGAGGATTAAAAAAAGAAAAGAAATGTGCAGAAGAAAGGGATTGCTTACGTTGCTGGTGGGAACCACGATCTGGTGGCTGTGGTCCCGTCGTTGTCCCTTTTCACCAAGTCGTTTCGATCCAGAGAGAGAAGCAGAAATCGCGAGGAGGCGGAAACTCTTCGCGAGAGGAGAGAAGCGAGAAGGTTGGTAATCGATGGCAACGGTAGCAACGGAGAGCTTAGAAGAACGCCCGCCGCTGCATTTTAGTCGGATGAGAGAGGAATCGACTTCGACGATAAGGAAGGAGAAGGTGAGGGGCGGCGGGTAATTTCTGTGGATGGGGTAGCCGATATGGATAAGGTAGAGTAAGTTTTGGTCCTGAAATCGAAGAGAAATAGTTGAGCATCTTGTTTAATAATATAGGATTAATAATATCAAGAGCAATTTTTTTTGTACAAAATGAAAAAAGGAAAATGATAATAGGCGGAAATTTAAAAACAATTAATTGAAATTTGCTGAGTTGGCAGTGACATGGCGCGTTGACCGTTAGTCAACGAGTTTGACCGTCCAAGTTAACGGTCAAACGTCGGGTTTGGCCAATTTAGTTATTTTGATGTATAGTTTCGGCCAGGATGTTATAGATCGAAAAGATTGGCCAATATGTTTATTTTGGTCAAAGTTCAGGCCATACAAATATATTAACCCTTTTGTTAAAATCAATCTATAGTTGATTTCGCCACTTTTTTACATAATAATAATCAATGACGAAAATTTCGATATATTGTTTAAATTTGGACATAAATTTTTTTCATCACTAATTCAATATGACGTCATCAATGAAGAAATCACAATAATACAGGATGGCCATGACTCATCACATGTTTCACAGAATGAGTGGTGCCATCAATTATTTTGCCAGCTTTAATCATATTGAGTGGTAAAATCAACTTTTCATGCAACTTTAATCAAAATGACAGGTGACATAGTTGTTCATGCAACTTTTAATCATATTGAGTTGTGCTATCAATTGTTCATCTAGTTTGTCAATATTTGTTGGAGAATCTTTTCGTGTTCTTATAAATGAAGGTCAAACTTTGTCAATCTATACATCCCAGCATTCAACTTTCTTCATTCTCTCTACTTCGTATTTCTCTCTACATACTCAAACAACTTATTTCATCATGAGTTCCTCCAATAGAGAAGCGGATGCGAGGCAGCAGGAAGCTGATGATAGGCAATGGGAGTATGAGCGCACAAAACAAGGTCTTCAGTTGTGGTGTAATTCAGATTGCGATTACTGCCGGAAGAAGCCATGATTATAGAGAGTTTGGGAAGAAGAGAATTTTTTATTTGGATGGTGGGAAGAGAATGTGAGAAGTGTTGACAGAAAGTGAAGAATGAGTTATATTTATAAAGTTGAAAAAAATATAGTCATTGGAAGAATGGTCGTTGGAAAATATTGACGTTAAAAAGTGGTCGTTGAAAAATATGGTTGTTGGTCGATTCTGTCCGTTAGGGACACATACAACACAAAACAAACAATCCTTAAATGAGAAAACAGAAAAAACAAAAATTAAAGTTGCAGGCGCAGGGGGCCCAGCCCCTCCCCTTTTTTGTCGGCTAGGGGTGGGAAAGCCCCCCATTCATTCCCCATTTTCCCATTGTGGGTAGTCTAATCTGTTTCTTCCACGACTCGTCCAATCCCTTTCTTCTTCTCTTTTTTCGTTCATTCTATCAATATGGGAATGAAAGATTGATCTGCGTCCCGTCGGCTTGCGGGATCCAGGTGGAGAAGAGGGAAAGTTCATGTTCATCGATCAAATGGACCCTCACTTCGTATCCATAATCCACTGCCGGCGAATCCCCAACCCCCGCCAACGGTGCCCTTCCCCTCATCGTTCTGGGAAAAGAGAAATGAAGGAAAGACGAACGCAGAGAAATCGAGCAGAGAAACGTGGGAGGAATTTTTACCTTTTTAATTATTATTTTTGTTTTCTTTTAAATTAAATTTGTAAATTCCATGTCAGAGGCCACGTCGGCATTGACTAGATTATCTGTTAAAATCTAACAGTCAAAGAAAGTCAACTTTAACGGGAAAATAGTTCAGGATATAAATGAAATATTAAATAGTTCGGGATACAAATAACACTTTTTTTAATTTGGGGTTCTAGTGATATTAACCCTAGAAAAAATAAAATACATTAAGTGGTTTTTTTTGCTAAACCGAGAAAACGTCTATATTCTGCGAAATAACTATGTGACTTGACAATTAAAAAACTAGGATTAGCAACGAGAATAGTTGTGTTTTTTAATTTTGGTATACGAAAAAGCTTGTGGGACTTAAGTGCGGTATTACACTATTAATGTTACTAGAGAATTTGTCAACTGAATCAATTGGTTTCAAATTTTCTCTACTTGCTAAGGGAGGTGAAGTGGGAAAAAATGAAGAATACATCTAAAATAAAATATCATTCATTGACCTGCAGAAAAAAAAAGCAAACTCGACAGGGAAAAAAAAGACAAATCTGAGTAATCCAACTATAAATTATGACTGTGTCCTTCCATGCAACCCAATTATTATTTGATGGTCCAAAGCCAATTATCGTATAACCTTCCAAATTCAATTGTCCATCCATATGTATTTGACAATGATATTAGACCTGGCAATCAGGTTGGGTTGGGTTGGGTAATTTTGGGTTGAGGATTTCGGTTACGGATCGGGTCATGTTTGGTTGACTTATTTCGGGTCAAATATTGACCCAACCCATTCGGTTTTGAGTCGGGTTACAAGTCGTTTCGGATTATAAGCGCTCTGAGAAACAATATCAAACATGCTTCATTTAGTGGGAGTGGGCTTTTGGTCCGTGAGAAGTGTCGGGTCAAGGCCCAACAATCTCCCCCTGCTTTCAAGACTTCAAGCCATCATTTCTGCAAACAACCAAAACATTATAGAAAGAGGGAGTTCTGCAAACATTCAAAATCACAGAGAAAACCATAGATTAATTTCAATAGATGCTCATGGAAGGGCAGCAGACATGTCAACTTGATAAAAAACAAAAACCCAGCATACTAGACCATTATGGTCTTTTAACAAAAAAAGACTCAAACGATAGACCATTATGGTCTTCCAAACATAAAAATGCAATACACTCAGACTCAGGCAATAGACCCTTATGAACTTTTAAACATAAAAATGCAATAACAATCAGACTTAGATTCTTTAAGTATTCCTTCTTTAGAGATTGATCTCTTGATGCTTGTCACCCTTTGTCTCCCCTTGAGTACTAGACAACCCTTCCATCACATCCCTTTCAAGATCTTCGGCAAAAAGTCTAATATCCTTCTCAGACACGGTTTCATTGAGGGTACCAATTTCTACTAGAGGTGTTGTGTCCCCTTTATTTTCCAGTTCAGATTCCAGCTCAACATCCTCTTCCTCAAATGCTATGATTAAATTCTTGAGAATAGTAGAGCAGGATTCTCCAAGTTCCACAGGTTTAAAAAAAGACTCGAGTTGCATTTGGATATCCTGGCAGCAGCTGGATACATAGTTTCTCCCCCTTTCCAATGCTGAGAATCAATGCCAACGAATTTCAGGACAGTGGATGCTGATATAGAAACAGAGGTTTCAACAAAGAAGTAGCCATCAATGGAAATTCCAAGATTGGTGATCAGGAGAGTGATAAAGCCACCAAAAGGAAGACGTCCGTCAAGATGAGCATCGACACTTCGAATTATAGATCCAAATAGCAGCTGAGAATAGTCGATTTGACGTTCGGTGATGGCATTTGACAGCAGCGAGAGGTCGAGTTTGGTGACAATGTGGAGGAATTAGTGCGGGGCAAAAAAAATGAGTGATGAAATAGTGTACGGTGGTGATGATTTCTTTAGCCCCGACTTGACGCTGAGTAATGCGAGAGTATTCAACCACATAATCAAGGTCATAAAACAGAAACTCATCCTCATGGGCAAAAGGAAGCGATTCTCCAGTAGGGAGATTGAGATGGTTTCCAAGGGTTTCAGAGGAGAATAATATGAAATATCCATTTACCATAGTGGTGACTTTTCCTCAGTTTTCAGAATCAGACCAGAGGTTGAACCAAAAAAGTTAGTGGTTTAGGGTCTAGTGGTTAACCGTTACAAAACCGTTGGTGAACCGTTCATGATATATAACATATAAGATTTATATATTACACTAATTTAAGAATGAAATTATAGTTGACAATAAATAATTTCAAATTAATATCATCACCAAAATATATAATAAATCATTCAAACCATCTCATGAAAGAAATCATATTTTTTAATACAAATTAAAAATTACGATGTCTGGACAATGTAAAGTTGACAACAAGGTGGGAATGAGAAGAGGAAGCATATATAATATTAATAATTATTGTTTGATGGTCTTAGTTTATGTTAAAGTATTTTTTTAAACCTTTGTTTGTTAAAATAGTGAACCAGTGGACTAGTTAAACCGTGGTGGTTCATCTGATTTTATGTTGAACCGTGAAAAACTGTTTGATCCATCAATAACCGCCGAAGCAATAAATAGGACTTCTATAATAAATGGTTTGACGGTTCTACTCGTCCGGTCGTTGACCCGGTTCGGTTCTTATAAAAATGGATTTTTCTGGTGGTAATGCCTTGTAAATCCAAATTTGTATAGAAACGTCGAACAGGGAGAGGCCAGGCAGCAATAGGAGGGTAGATGAGAAGGTATTCCCAGCCCAAGTTTCTAATGAATGGAGTAATGTCAATCCCATAGGCTTTGAATTAATGGGGATCAAGAATAATAAGATCAGATAGACGGCGGGTAGCAAAAAACTCTTTGAAGCGATGATGGTTTAAGTGAATGGGCTTATGGAAAGTTTGTCCAACATAAGTGACGATGGCACCAGGAATGTCAGATGAGGTGAACAGATCAGTCATGATGGACGAGAGGAGTTGTATGGTAAAAAGGGAATGACGAGATGAAGACAGGGATGATGGATTATATAAGAAAAAAAGGAAGATGAAAAACTGCATTAATAAATTTTTGAAATAAACAATAAATGGAAAGTCTAAACAATAATACATGAACAATTAACATGAAAACAAGAAAGACATAA